GCCATCGCTATTAGGTTGGAGGCCATCGCAAGTAGGCTGGAGGCCATGGCTATTCGGTTGGAGGCCATAGAAGAAAGAAGAATTAGTGCATGTTCATTTTTACATGAACAAAGAGGCATTGGCGCGTCGGCTGGAGAAGTCGATTCTTCCTCTTTCTCGTGAACAGCTGCGTGTTCTGTGGCACTTGAACATATACCTCGATCGGATTGGAAGACATAGAGAAGTTGATGGTGGCCTTCAAAAGCAAAAGAACACATTATACATATCAGTATATTTGAGTACCCCCTGCAAATATACGTTGAACCCGAGGACGTGTATAACTGCACGGGTGTATATTATACCATGTTTCGCGTATATTCACACAGCGTTTCACTTGCTCGTTTGTCCAACAACCTCCAAGAGCTCCTCCAAGGACTGAAAGGGACGATAGGAAGCGATCCGTTCAGCCATGGCATCGCCCACGCAGTTCGCCAGATCCGCAGTGCTGCAGCCATTGATCTCCATGGCGGACTTGGGACAAAGTCGGACAAAGCGACGATTCTGTGCTTCTTGTTACTAGCGATGGCCTTCAAGCTACGTGCGATAGCCTCCACCGAGCATAGCGTCCTAATACTGACAATTCTGTGTCTGTTCAAATTCTTGTGCTTTATCAAGGTCTAAAGTGGTGAGATGCTGGTCGGATGTGGTCGGACAAGTGTTGACTCAAACGGTGTGAAAAATGCTGGTGACGAGTGATCATGTGCTAATTCTAGTAACACGTACATTACTATACTATACTAGTAGCAAATAGCTACTATATAGTAGGGTGCATCGCTGCTAGTAACCAGTGCAGGATGCTGGTGTGACTCAAATTCCCACATTGGGCCGAGCTTGGCGCTTTGAGCGTCAACCCCACGGTCGGCCATACACCGCCTCTCGGCCGCGAGGCTTGGCCTCGCCCGTCGCGTCGCGCCTTCTTGGGCGCTGCAAGCCTCGCTTGGAAGTGAAGACCTCCTTGAGAGGAAAGACGTGAGACCTGGGCATCTCTTCGAAGCTGAAATCCTTCGTTGAGACCTTCATGTCGAAGCAGTTCTTTCGCCGGTTTCTTTTCTAAACTATTGTTGTGTGCGGTGCGGGGATCTTTTAGTGCTGAGGCCCCATCTGAGCAGCTTCCCCAGCTCTGTTGTACGCTGGGATCCTCGTTGAAGACCTGGGATCATTCTGGGTTTGCAGGTATCTATCTGGCAGCATGTTCTTAAACACTGGTCACACGTTGCATCAACGGAACAAACGCTCCGGTCTTGCGCCAAGTTGCTGAGTCCGCGCCATCCATTTGCGCTGCCTTGAGCCTCAATGGCCTGATTGGGACAACCCATGATGGGAACCCTGCAGCAAACATCCTCAGAACGCAGTGGCACAGAGATTTCCAACACGGATTTCTGAGCATCAAAAGGCGGACCAAAACTTTTTGGATGAAATCATCAGCACATGGTACATGTGGTGAAGTTAACATGAAACGTGAGACTTTTAGATGCAGTCGCTTTTGCAGTGCTTCGTCACATGATCGAATCCTCCAAGACATCCCTCAGTTTGGACCGGCCAATTTGATGACAGCGAGGTGGTCCAAGAAGTGGAAGGTGCCATTGCCCATCGCGACGCCCATGCGATGATCCATCGAATCCATTATTGACTCGGCCATCATGAATCTTGGCCCAGGATCTCTGGCAAAAAAAAGAGTGCTGTTCCTCCATGACAAAGATGATCTCAGGCCATCTCATCGCCCTTCATGTTCTGGCCTGTGTTCCCGATCCTTTCCTGTCAGAACATCACATCTGCACATGACCTTTTCTCAAAGATGAGAACACTGAAGTTCAATGTGCTTCTCAACTGGCTCAAAGAAACGCTTTTGAAAATCAAGTAGCTCTTATTAGCTCAACTGGTCTTTCAGAACCGTCCTTGACCTTCGCAAGTACCTCTAGAGGTGGTCCAAACAGTTTTTCAAGGCAGTCAAGTCTTCTTGATAATTGACTCATCCAGACTCATGCTCTCTTTTGACTCTCTGACACCGTTGACTCTTCACTCTTCTTGATACCCCAACACATGGGAAACCGCATTGGTCGATGGCAACGATCTAAAACAACATATCCATATCAATGCATTGGGTATATCAGGTATATCCCATGACCTGTAACTGGTTAGTAAAGGCCTTGTTCAAGACTATAGTAATAACTGTTTATTGACTGTTACAGGTAAGAACGGACAAACCTAATCAATGCAGTTTGTCCATGTTCACACCTTGTTGCTCCCTTCGGATCTTATGGGTCACTGGCCGTCCATTGGCGCCACCTTCCGCAAGACCTCGTTTTCAGGCAATCCGACAGCCAAGTCTGCCGCGATCGTTTAAGTTAGAACCTGGGAAGAGCTTCCAACATCTTCTAAACTTGGTACTTTCAAGATTCCATGAAGAGCGCCGCAAACCAAAATTGGCCCCAATTCGGCTGATTCTACCAATCTTGACAGTTGTTCCGCAAAAGGGGCGCCACAGCGCGCTCTCTGCAGGCCTTGTTAGCTCGGAGGTCCCACAGCACCAGAAGGCCATTTTCAGCACATGTGAGCAATCGAGCCTGAAGAATACAAGCAAACGCCACCTTTTCTTCAAACTATCACTCCGTGAAGATCTCGAAGAATCGAATCCGTTTTTTGGTCTCAACGATCCGGGATCCGGAAGCTTGTTCTTAGGTTGAAGTAGATGTGCACTGTGTGAGACTGCAACGACTTGGAACTCGCTCGACCACTTTCCACTAAGCTTCTGACTCCATGCAAGGCCACTGACATCAATTTTGACTTCTCTGGGTCCTGCAGCAAGATCTGTTTGCCGGTTTTTGCGCGTGGGTCATCTGCGCTTTCACGAAGCGCATGGGGCGTCGGCGTCAAGCAGTCTGTCGGACCCGACTTCGGATTGGTCACGGTCCAGTCATTGTCGAAATGCAGCGGAGATCAACCCAAAACCATCCAAAAACCCTCCTATCAATAGAGTGAGGATGACGAAATCCACAAGATCACCCAAAGAGAATGGCCATTGAACATCAACCACGATGCGCCACGGATGCGTGGTTCGCTCAGTCCTTTGCTCCGTTCACCGGCTGGGCCTCTCGCAGGTCCCAAAGGCACCAGGACCCTGGCGCCGAGGGCGTCCGGCCGAGGCGTCGCGCCGAGGCGTCCGAGCGCACCATCTGCTGCGCCACTGACGAACTCATGGTAAAAGGCCTGGCATGGTAAAAGGCACCCGAAAGAACCAATTCCCAAAACACGCATTTGGAGGCCATCCCTAGTAGGTTGGAGGCCATGAAAATGGGGAAGAAAGGATGCCACGAAGAGAAGAATAGAGAAGAGCATCGAAAGCCACCAAACGCTTCAAATCACACTTTCCTCATTCACCACCAGGTGGGAAGTCATATATCTGGCCTCCCCGGTGTTGAATCTCACTGCCTGAAGTCGACAAAGTCTTTTTCAGCTGAGTCACTGAGTCCGAGGATCAAATGATCCGATCTGATTCCCTTAATGATCTTAAAGCCTGTCAGTCAGGCACTACGTATATAGAAAATAAAATATATTAATGGCTATATATGCATCTATAGATAGTTCTTTTGCCCGGGGAGGTTGGCGCTGCTGGTCGTGCTTCGCGGTGTGTGAATCACCCTGGTATGCCGAGGGCGAGCACAATAAATACCTTCAGTCGGGCTGCTTGGCCTTCAACGCTCGACTTGCTTCATTTGGCCAAATGGGTACCTTTGTTTCCCATGGATTTGCTTCAGCGCTGTGGCTTCAATGCGGCTGGATGGGAGGGCTTTGGGGCAAAGGATCAGGATGGAGTTTCTGCATCGTTTTCTTCAGCAATTGCGCGCTGTCGCGCAACCCAAAGCACGTGCGCCTTCCTCTAACCGTGTATTGGCTGCTTTGCCAGTACCTCTTTGAGTGCTATCTCTTCCAATCGCAGCCCTCGTGGCTGCCCTTCTCCCCAGCACTGATGGGTTGTGGCATCTGGAGTTTGATGATCATATCGATCGATCCAGAGCCAGCTGAAGAACTTGCAGAACGAACACCAGTTGATTTTGTTCTTCGGCCATTATGTATGATATTAATATACAGTATACTGATTAAGAACGTATCTAACACTGCATCAACGGTGAGTCGAAGTCTGAGAAGCCACCCCAAATGACCAACAGATCTATCACGAACATTCACGAACTCTGTGCCGAGGGGCGGTGAGCGATGGTGGCTCCTCCCTGAGATCAATGTTCAACAGGATTGAACTTGGGAAATTCGGGGTGTTCTTAGAGCTTGAAAGTGTCCTGCAAATGCTTCATCCTGCAAATGCTTCGTATCGACCTAGCTTGTTCATCTGGTCCCAATTTTATGCTAAGCTCCTTACTCTGACGCGGAGATATGCGGGGATCCTGGGCCAGTTCCAAGATTGGGTTGTTGAATCCATCAGGACTGCCAAAACCCCGTATGATGAGAAATGTGTGTTTGTTTTAATCTGCTGACACAATTGCATGGCCCAATGCGGTCTAAGGAGGTCCAGGAGGTCCAAGGGTCTGAGCATGTCAACGGATAGCTAAGTCTCCGAACGTTTTGTTGGTCGCCACACCATCGTGTCCCAAAGGCGAATGCAGCCATCCTACGATCGGAAGGGAACCTTCAACGGACCTGAGTCCCTTCGTCAAAAGAGTAGGTTGGATAAATTTGTTGGAGGCCATCGCTATTAGGTTGGAGGCCATTGCTATTAGGTTGGAGGCCATCACTAGTATGGTTGGAGGCCATTGCTATTTGGTTGGAGGCCATTGCTACTAGGTTGGAGGCCATCACTAGTATGGTTGGAGGCCATTGCTATTTGGTTGGAGGCCATCGCTAGTAGGTTGGAGGCCATTGCTAGTAGGTTGGAGGCCATTGCTACTAGGTTAGTATGTGAGCGCTGCTCTCTCCATCGACCCATCCCCTTCCCTTAGAAACCGCTCCTCGGCCCCTGCGAGGACCCGTGAGAGCCGCCGGTCCTGAACAGTTCGTGAGAGCTTCTTGTTTCGTGAGAGCTAGTAGTAAGGCACTTGTTTCTAATAGCTTCTTGTTACTACTAGTAAGGCACCTGTTACTAGTAGCGTGGCACTTGTTTCTACTAGCTTCTTGTCCGGGTCTCATGTGTTGAAGGTCAGTTTGTGCCGAGGCCGGATCCACGCACATGCTGTAGATCGGTGACTGAGGAGTCCTCCAAAGACTTGTCAAAACTGCGAAGAGGATGGGTTTAATGTTCAAATATATACATACTTAGACTACAACTCCTATTCATGCATATTTATTCACATTCACTGTCAGAGACTGGCTCTTTTCGAAGATTGCAGTCCTCTCTCGGCAGTCCCTGTTGTGCAACGGCAGCTCAGCGTCACAGGTCGTTTCCATTGAGCTTGGCGTGGCCACCTCGGCCGACCAGTAGCGCACGTAGCCGTCCTGGATCAAAGGGAATGGAACGTCACGGTATGGAACTACATGGAACTACTCCCCCTCCTCAAGGGAGAGGTAGCTAGTAGTAGCTAGGTAGCTACTAGTAACGGGACGCAGGATAGCTCACGCTTCTTCAAGGAAGCCCTCGCACTAATGATTTGGTTCCTAGATTTTTAGGGAAACTTAACTTAATTGCGATGGTATATGTATATATGCATCACTCTAAAAGAATAAGATTCTATCACGAACTATGGCATACTCCATCAGCCATCGTCCATGGTCCACGCCAACTGATGAAACCCTGCTCCTCTCCAGCACTGAAGGCCTCATGGGCAAATCGATGCTCGGCTATGAAGATTGGAGCTCCCAAAGTGACACCAAGTCAAACGTCTACTAGGCTCAATGGCCGGGATATGCTATGCATTAGCTGTGCCAGATCGCATGTCAGCATGTCGTCTCTATCACTAGTATATGACGTAAAGCTTTTACACGCTGGTTGCACGATGTGGCACGTGGGATCATCCCTAAAACCCTCCCAAAAACCCATTGAACAATTCGGCTGAGGCCTTGCCGTTCCGCCCTGGTGCCTGTGCAGGTCCCGCAGACTCCACACACGTTACTGCTCCGCCATGTGCTGGGATCTTCCTCGGGGTCGGATCCAAACGAAGCGGATCAGGCTGCGTTTGGTACAGCCAGCGGCAAAGGAACAGGTCACTTGAAAGTAAAGCCAATGCAAACACCATCAACTAAGAAAACATCAAGACACAACCGATACACATCACTCAAGAACTTTGGACTTTGCCATAAGACTTTGCACATTCGTTGGAGGACTTGGCCGGCCTCAAAAGTCGATCACCAGATCGACCTGACGGATGCGAAGGTGGAGACGACCGGAGACTGAAGCTGAAGCAGACTTCAGTCGCCAGAGTTCGTTTCCTTTGTTTACTTATATAACTATTATCTCGACTTATTAGGTTGGAGGCCATCGCTATTGGGATGGAGGCAATCGCTACTAGGTTGAAGGCCATTCCTAGTATATATTAGTATATTACTTACACTGTCAAGGCAATCTGGCTGGAGAAGAACTGCATCCGCAAAACTGGGCCAACGGAAGGGGTTGCAGGTGTCAAACCATGTCAAATCGATTGCGTCCCAAGCATTTCTCCTCGCTATTAGGAGCAAGGACGCTACGAGGAACAAAGGGCATCGCTAGCAGGAGCGATCGGACGCTATTAGGTTGGAGGCCATCGCATTTCTCCCCGTTCCCTCGATCGCACCTGGTTGGCTCCAGATGCACATGGAGCCATCGGCGCCACCAGTGAAGAGCTCCTGATTGCCGATGCCCACTGCAGAGATCCCTGCGATCCATACGACGCATACGAGCAGCTGGAAGCACATAAAAGCAAACAAGACTTGCCTGCGAAACGTCCAGGTGAGGGAGTAACTGAATGAGCCTGCCACTGACAGGGATCTTCCAAGTGCCTCAGGAAGAAAATTGACAACCCCATAAAGATCCATAAAGCCGCTATAGCCTACGTATAAGACCGGCAATCAAAAGCTGTTGCAAGGTGTGTTTCACAGTGCAGAGCGCCGGATTTCAGTCTTGGAACTTTCCGGATTTCTGTGCATCCGTAACTCTCCGGCTCAATCAGAAAACGCACCTGTCCATCCTCCAAACTGTAGCAATGCCAGCCTCACCGTGCAAGCTTCAAGTGCAGCGGCACAAAAAGCATCAACCCAATGCTCAACAAACGCTGGTAAGACTTTTCTCCACAAGTTCCATGATGTTGTTTCGGTTTGGGCCATTTTGGGGCCGATGCTGCTTCGATTCAGGGGTCATCTGTGAGAAATGGACAAACTGAGATCGCACTGAACAAGGTGAACCTCCCAGATCAAAGGATAGAAAGGGCACCATAGGGAGCCAACTACCAGTCGCAGAGTCTCTGATCGACAGGGAAAATCAATCGAGCTCACATCAGTCGCAGGGCGACTGAGATTTGCCGCCCTCTTGCCCGGTGAAGCGGCCTCTGTTCCCACCAGCAACTGCTTGTGTTTCGGAGAAGCTTCATCTGTGCCGCAGAGCCTCCGACTGGGGGCAGTACCGTTGGATGCAGCTTCATGGAAGCTACCCGCAACCGATCCAAAAGGGATCAAGATGCCTCTGGTTGGGAGTGATGGCCGAGGTCTTGATCTCAATCTCTCGCTGACTGCCTGCGCAAGGGCGGCACATGGGCTTGCATGCGATATTTTGCAACTTTGAATGTTGTATAGACTCCTTTGTTACTAGTAGCTTCAACCAATAGTAGCATCTAGTAGCGAGGCACCTGTTCCTAATTAATAGCGATGCACTTGTTACTAGTAGCTATAGCATGCTATAGCTATACTAGTAGAGAACGACACCCTGAGCACGAAGTGAATAACCATCGACAAGACAAAGCCGCTCTTCCACTTGTGCAGCCAGAGCTGCAAGGAAAGCTCAGCGCAGCCACCACATCTGGCCCAAAACTCAGACATCGGGCCAGTGCACGTGGATACGGCTGAGGTGCGTCCATGCTGATACTGCGATGGCATGGTTTGCCCAAACTTGGAATCGTTGAACTGCGATCTCCCAACCAGGATCCACACTCAAGCAAAGCCACAGAGCCATTTGAGAAGCTAGCAGCAACCTCGCCAGGGCCGCTATTGGCTTGGATTATGTGAAAAGAAGCAGATCAATCGATGTCCGCCCAAACTCGTCTCTCCGTTCTCTCTCTCCGTTCGTCCACCTTGGCCACGTGCTCGGTGAGGTCTGAAGCGATCGAAGTGCAGCGGTGCAAAAGGTTGGACCTGGTCGAAGAGGCTGGTGGACGGGACGCAAAGCGCGCCACACCGCTCGGAGTGTGAAAAACACCGTCTGAACAGCCCAGTTAGCTGTTGGGTCGTGTCAAATCGTCTTAAAGTTTCTCAAACTGCATGAGACAGAGTCAGACAGAGAGTTCGTTTGGTACGATATTCCTCACTCTCCATGAACACCCTCGTCTCACTCCTCGTCTCATTATGTCTGATCCTTCTTCCAAGCATGGCAGTCGGAAATTTGATCGGAACAACAAACCTCAATAGGCACAAACACGTTAACAAAAAGCTACTAGTAGCAAGGACGCTATTAGGTTGGAGGCCATCGCTACGTCACGTGACCGACCAGATCCTTTGGATTGCCTCAGGGTCTTCAGGATGGCCGCTTCGTTGGTCTCACGGGTCTCATCTTCCAAGATGGGCCTGAAACGCTCAAAACATGTGGCATGAAGGTCTTCTTAGGTCTTAAGGTCTTAAGTTTTAAGGTCAAAAGAATGAATTGAAAAAACATGTAAAGGAAAGAAAGGGTTGTAACAAAACACATGTCAAACCAAACACAATAACCTGGTGACCGAGACATTCTCAGAATGCTTTTCAGAGTTCTGTTGGGACGGCTCGTAACGTGTCTTAACACGTCGCAACACGCAGCAACCAGCACCGTACCATTGGACTTTTGTGATCCTTGTTACGACTGTCAACCCTGAACTCTGAAACGATTTGTACTGTAGTAGGCTCGCCCGACTTCTTAAGGAGTCCGCTTCCCAAAAGCCCAAGCGAATAGGAAAAGATCGAATCTGAAGGCCTTGCGTCTACTTTGCCTACATGTAAGAAGCCCTTTCAACGATCGACGAATTCATGCCATGTCACTCACCCAAGGACTCCAAGGAATGGCCTGAGTGGCTGCGCTAGAATGACCTCTTATCCCAGCCGTCTGCGCCGTCTGCGCCCGGCCCTCCCAAAAGAAAAGCAGCAACTATCGGTGGGTGACCAGATCTTCCAAGACTCCTACATACAGATTCCTAGGTTGGAGGTCACTCTTCATCTGAAAATCGAAGCGGTCGTCGGACGAGCACTGAGTGAAGTGCTCACGCTAGACTCCTGCAAGCTGGATCAAAAGGAAAACACGTGAAATCCACACACCTCACAGCTGAAATCCAAGTCTGTGTGTATCGGCAGTTCGTGCCCTGCCCTGGTTCGGAATACAAAGACCGAGTTTCAAAGATCTCCTGGTAGCATTTCTCACATCCATGTCCCATGCCGCATGACGGCCGAAGCCGCTTCGCAAGGACTCAATTGGATTAATGCTTCTTTCGAACGGCATCAACAACCGGGGCTTAGCATTCTCCAATGGGACCCTAATCAGAATAGGGAGAGAGTAAGTTCTCTTGAAAAAGAGCTGCTTTGCTGAATGTGTTCATGCATTGATGTGTTGAAGCCATGGTTAAAGTCAACCCGAATGTGGAAGGCATGCTGGAAAGCTGGTGAGAGCTACCCCGGCAGGTTCAGTCTGAAATAGCACTTCTGACCGCAAAACAGTCATCCTCAAGTGAATTCATTGACGCTTTGATGTTAAAAAACGATTGCGCAGGGTTCTTTCGCCAAAATCAATCCTTTTCACCACGCAGGTGCTTCCATTCAGGTGAGAGTGCGAGCCATCAGTCCTGGGGCGTCTCTGTCTCTGCGCCACGTGCAGCAAGTCTAGACATGCAAAAGGGTTCTCCAAAAAGCACCCGATTCCAGTGTTTGCCACCAAGATCATCAGCTGGGTCAGAAATGCTTTATTAGGTTGGAGGATAAAGCTCTTAGGTTGGAAATGCGGCAACCGCTTGTCTCAAGCTGCTGCCGTTCTTTCTGAATAGATGTTTCCTTTCACAAAGCTTTGGGCATCAAAGGTGGTTCAAATTGATCCCATGTTGCTGGGTCAGAAATGCTTAAACACACATTGCATATCTATACAGCCAAACAAACTCAATCCCAATAGCGGACTCTAGGCAACAAGAGAAGCTTCTTGCCACCAAGATCATCAGCACCCGCTAGTATGCTGTTTGAAGATGATTATATGCCAAACACAGAACAGAAAAAAAGTGTCTTGATGATTGTGATGTTGTGGCAAATGGACATGAACAAACAACAAAGATTCATAAGAACTGGCAAACTCCGTAACATAGTGACAGTTGAGCACATCATACGTAACATTAGCCCATGATTTAGATTATGCGAAAAGTGATCGAAACGAAAGGCGAACGGCAAGCCGTCCCGGAAACCCATGTCTCCAACAAAGCACTATCCGAGGAGCCAGGGATGAGAGTGTCATCGACGCTGGATCCACAAAACGAAAGTGTCATAGTGTCATAGACGCTGGCGGACGCTGGATCCAGCGTTCCGCAATCATCAGCAAGCAACAAACATCAGTGTGGAGCCAGAAAGTGACAATCTCCAACCTCCAACGAATCCTGTGTCCTCTTCATGGATGATCGATGAATCGCAACATCCACTCAGCAACATTGACGCATGACACATATTCACTCAATGCCATCTGGCTGTGGTCCCATATAGAGGAATCTGTTCATTTGATCCGCGGTCAACCAGGGTTACAGGGTGGCCCACGGCCATCTCCGGACTTCACCCATCGGCACCACATGGCTCGTTCGCTTCTCCTCTGGATCCATTCCCACATCTTCGGCGCTGGCATCCCAGGCATCCACCGCCTGGCTACAGAGGCCACATGGCTCATGGGCCGCGTGCGCGAACGACGTCGTTCACATGAATGGCAGGGGATTTTGTGACCACATTCTCACTTCTAGCACAAGTACTTTAAAGTTGCTTTAACGCAAGGGGTTTACAGAGTCCACTCTTGCTTTGAAAGCATGTTGTTTTGGGTACCAGCAAGGAAATCAGAGATGTAGCCTGATGTAGTGTTCTGAATCTTGTAATGATTGTCTCGAAAGGAGTCATTGCATTAGGATCTCAAGGAGCTCCCGCCTGATCAGCAAGTCCTGGCAGACCTGGCAAGCCACACATTCGTTGCTTTCGCAACAACCTCACATATATTTGAAATTTGTATCAAGCCTTATCATCCCACCAGCACTTTTCAAAACCTAGAGAAGATGTAGGATCTTGAAATCGACCGGGGTTTTGCAACCTAAACCGGCTTTCTCCAAAAGCATCCACAAAAATGTGGCTCTTTTAATGTGTTAATTGCAGGTTTTGAACTGAACATGAGAAACCGAGTTTTCCACTGCAATAGTAGGTTTCTGGTGGCTTCTATACAAAAACAATCAAAAAACCAGTTTTCAGAAAAAGGGTTGTCACTGGTCAGCTTTAAACGTTTGGCTGCTGGTTGCTGGATGCTCCTGGCACAATCATCTTGTATCAATCAGCTTTCGGAATTCATCGATCCTTCTAATCACCGTTTTTCCAACGCGCTTCTAATCACCGCTCGTTAAAAACCAACGAGGTGCCTCGAAGGAACAAGGGATCCAAGTCGTGGGAGAACATCGAGGTGCCTCGAAGCGACCGAACAGAGATGCCAGGAGCCCCGTTCGTAGCTTCTTGTTACTAAGGATCCTCAGAGAGTCTTGGAGCGTTTGTTTCATACGCCATGCTCTCCTCTGAAACTGGAATCGTATTGAGCGAGCGTTTTTGAACCATCACTAAGTCAAACATGGGTGCTTTGGCACTTCAACACAACTCCTCTCTCCCGTCTCGCCCTTTGGCTTGGCTGCTGAAACGGTGCTCTCGGCCATAAGCACCCACCTGCGCTCTCGACCGAGACCACAAGACCCTTGCACTGCACTTGCTGCGGTTGTAGGACGGGCTTGCCAGACTTGCGCTTGAAGACCCTTCCATTAAAGAAAGCCACAAATGAGGCTCAAATGAATTCTGTTGAACAAATGGGTCTTTCAGGGTCTGCGCAAAGCTTTCTGTTTTAGGCTGGTACCTCAGGTTGACTCGATGGCCGGAGCTGATGATCGAAGTAGTCCCAGTCATGGTCATAGCGATCCAGGTAGAGGTACCGGCCATCCTCGACTCAAAACCCCCGACCCGACGACCGCGTCAGTCGCTCGGCTTCGAAACATCTCGTGAAACACGTCCCTTGACGTCACGGCTTCTGACGCCCAGAACATTCGCCTGTCACATGCCTTGTGTTTTGCTTCACCAACGCGGTGGACGCCGGTCGACGCGGGTGGACGAAGGCCAAGGCACGATGCTCACGCCGCTCACGCAGCAGTAGACCAAGTCACCCAGCTTCACGTCCTCACCGTGGGGGACGCCGGAGCTACGATGTAGTAGCGATGCCAGGAGCTCCGTTCGAGTCGCGATGCCAGGAGCCCCGTTCATAGCGTGCCTTTCTACACCAAAATAACACAAGTACTCAGAAGTGTGATGATACATGATACATCATGATATCACCTCATCATCTCTGTTGGCCCACACTGGACGTTCCTGACTTTTGGTCCGGCATGGTTGTCACCGAGGTACATCTGAAAGAATGACCGGGTTTGACAAATATGATAATATGATCACGAACTGATCACCTTTATCTCTTTGCAGCCAAGCTGAGGACTTGCTAGAGCCAGGGAGTCCAGAGGGCCCTGCCTTGAAACGTTTCAATGCCGATGGAGTGCACACCATGCCCACTCGTCCATTGAGCTTCAGGAGGAGCTTGCTGCCAATCATATGAGCTCACAGTGAAGCAAGGCTGAGTTTTGGACAGCTTTGCTTTTGAAAGGGTGTCTGCAATGTGGTTTGCTTGTTCCCTGTTCAGGAAAATGCTGTGTGCTGCAGCATTTATTTGGTACTAAACTCAAATACACTATCTATTATGTGGGGGCCCTATCTCGTTTAGACTACTTAGTAGGAGGTCATGTCATAGTATCTCGTTCAGACTACTTTAGTAGCAGATCACACTATTTCGTTCAGACTAATTACTTTAGTGCCATCAAGCAAAAGTATATCGTTTATGTGGGGGGCCTATCTCGTTCACAAGCGAATACTGATGATAGACAAGGTGACTCAACCAACCAACAATGTTGACGAAGTTGAAGAGCCTAGCATGGCCTGTACACAATGCCTTGAGGCTTCTTCGAAACGCATGTTCACATCATCTCCCGCAATCCAAATCTCTTCCAGCCAACCCAAGGGCACCCACCAGCCCTCGCTGTCATGTCTTGAAAACCGCCCCATCACCCATCGCAACTTCAGCCAGCTGGACTCGCGGCCCCGCGAGGCCATTAAGGCCCAAAGCCGGGTGCCAATCTTGGCCTCAGACCGTCGGCACGGAAAACAAGGAGAAATGAGTTCAATATAGTTCAATTGGTGTCCCTTCCTGACTTCGATGTTCAAATTCTCCTCCGTGTTCTTCGTGTCTCATTGGTTCTCATTCCCATGTTCTGCCCAGGGGATCAGTTTGAGTTGGAACGTTCTGCTGAACTGCTAGAAGGTGGAAAAAAGGAAAAAGGAGTGGTTCTCATTATATAAATAGCTGTGAGGTATCAAAGACATGAACTGCCAATCTGCCATCTATTTTGTTCTCATGCCAGGTGTGCCTCAAGTCTGCTCGGTTTGCTGGGGAAACTGGCCATACTCTCTGCCGTGGGAAATTCACGGTTCAAGAAACGGTAGTCCGCCGCAAGAGCAGATGCTTCCGCAATCTCCTCGCAAAAACGCATCATCGAAGAACTTGGGAGCATTGGCATCAACCTAGTAGCGTCCTTGCTCCTAGTAGTAAGGCCAGGAGCCCCTAGTAGCGTCCTCGCTCCTAGTAGCGATGCCAGGAGCCCCTAGTAGCTTCTTGCTCCTAGCAGAAAATAATAGAAAATAACTGCTTCAATGAGTGTGCACCACCCAACAGGTTCTGACCCTTTGCTTCTCAATTCCATCGAACGAAAAGGCAAAGCATGGCAAAGCTTTTCAGCTCAAGCTGAATGAAGAGATGCTGAGTGCAACAGTGAAACCACTCCTATCCCAGGATGGCTCCCTGCTTACGTCTGCTCCTCCTGGAGCGCGGCATTGGTCTTCTCCATAAGCAGCTCATGCAGCGGCAGCAGATACGCTACGGATCGGACGGCATAGGACACCAAGGCTTTGGACAAGGGTCGTCGGCCCCAGAGCTGCGGATCCTGTGACGGTTGCGGATCCCCAGGTCCACAGTGAGTCTTCCTATAATAGCTCCAACCTATATAATGGCGATGGCCTCCAACCTAACAGCGATGACCTCCAACCTAAAGTCAACATGTGTTTGTTAATGGAACATCATTGTGAGCCTTGTGTGAGAGACTTGTGAGCCACTTGTGAGCTCTGTCCGAAGATGTGGCTCATGCGAACGTTCTTTGTCGGTTTCTTCCGTTTCTCTCCTCCAGCATCAACGATTTCAGCTCCGAATCGTCCGGATCGATGTTGAGGTATTTCTGAAGGAGTTCACTGGCTGAGGCTTGATAGGCCTCTCTTCCAGCCGCCCGTTCCAGGCTCGCATGGGCAACCTGGGTATCAAAAATGCCACGGAGACCGATCCCGTGTTGATGGTACAAAGCGGAGCTATCCTCACGGCAGTCGTGGATCACCTGAGGAACACGGTTTAGGTCGCAGGTCTAACAAGAAATGTTTGAAGGATTTTTGCACCACTTTACAAGCAAAACCATTCTGGAATTGGGATGAACTGCCTCCTTCACGGTCACCGAACATGCTATTAAAAGCCACAGTACGTGCCTCGCTTTTGCGGCATTTGCTTAACATGTTTGGCCTGGCCTTGACGACGCTTGGGCTTTCCAAGAGTGGTCGAAAGGCTTCCACAATACCAGGCCGCAAAGCGTCACACAGCATGACTTGTCCATCTTCGTCTTGCATCTGCATCAGAGAGAGACGTCCAAAACGGCCTAAACGCACTCCTTCACAGTCCAAGGCAATCTTGGCAATCGAAGATTCATTCGGAGATCTCTTTCGGAGCTTCAACAAGAGCTCCCTTGAAAGGCGCTCTGCTTGTGCTTGGCTGGAAACCAAATGCACTGTATAGCTGGTTCCAAAGCAACGCTTTGCAGAACGGAACCACGGGCGGAGCATCTCATTGCTCTCAATGCTGAGTTTCTACTATGTCATGAGTCATGGTGTATCTAAGGAACTCTCAACCTTCCAATGTGATTCCCAACATGGGAACACCGACAACTTATTATGAGAACTTGCTTGGAGGCCATCGCTAGTAGGTTGGAGGCCATCGCTACTAGGGTGGAGGCCATCGCTCTTAGGTTGGAAGCCATGAGTTTGGTTTGTGGACATGTTTCTTCACCAATCTATCTGAGATCCACAAGTCTATACTCACCACTATGATGTGGGATGAAGCTGGGCCGAAGCCTGTCCGGTCTGGATTCACATAAAAAACTGAGTTTTTTCATGGGAGTTCTGCCTGGATGGAGTCAACTCAAATGACCTAGAGCGTGCGAAAAGCATGCGGAGAGAAATAGAAAGGCTCAACATCAAAATCGCCAATGAAAAGCATGATGTTCAAGTTTTTCTCAGTGTTTTCACTTCTCAACTGGCTGCACATTGCCTCCTGGAACCACACCAACGGCGCCATTGATGCCTTTTTCAGGTCAAGACATTGGCCAACGCTATTCTTTCTCTTAGGCGTCTCTGGGCTGCCACTCTTTCAGCCATGGTGATTTCTGCCACTCCTGCAGCGATGCTCTCTTTGGGCTACGCGGCTAGCTGAATAGTATCTTGATATGAGATTTACGTATTCTGCCAATGAAAAGTCCAGAAATCAAGGATTTATATCGATCGATGGTCATTTGGTCTTGTCTCTTCCTGTCATCTTCATGTAGCTTTGGACCGCTATTTCCACGCTCTCCTGAAAGCCACGGCGTTGCCAAGCGCCAACGGCCGATGAATTGCGCCTCCCTTCCATTCCCTCACAGCACTTGGCAATGCGCTCCATGATGTCAGAGACCGATGCAAGGGCACCACGCCCAACGTCGCCGCAGGCAAGGCGTTTGCTGACGGGAGGAACCACCCAGCAACCGAACCTGGATCCAAGTGAGCCACATGTTCCTGGCCTTACTAGGAACAAGAACGCTACTAGGGGCTCCTGGCCTTACTAGGAACAAGGATGCTACTAGGGGTTCCGGGCCTTCCTACTAGGAACGAACGCTTCTGTGCGTTCTCTCTGTGGTTTCAGAGAAATGGACCTGAGAAGTCTATGTTGGGTTTCTGCTCCGTTGTTTTATTTGATCTGTTTACTTTTCTCTCGTTTTTTTTACCCTTTTCTATTGTTCTTGATGTTTTTCCTCTTCTTCATCCTTTTTGTGCTTTTGCGTACTCAGCAGAAAGGTCACTGCTACCGTCAATCATCGAATTTGTCATCCCTAATAGTGCTCAGCCTGATGCCTGGCGACGTGCCATTTGCTACCCACCAGGGCAGGCCGATGCTGCGCATAGGGCAAAAGACTATCAGTTCGAAGCACTACACAAAAATTTGTTTCTTTGACGCCTGGAGAAGCCAACCGGAACTTGGAAAAAGGGGATCAGATTTGCACCTTCCCCCGAAACCGGACTCCTGAAAGAAGGTTGCTTCTGTTTCCTACCAACATACAAATCGAAGGGCCAGGAGCCAACACACACGATGCTAATACTGCACTGTCACCCTTTACGCATAATTAGCATCATCAAAGCGAGTGTTGGGTGTTGTCGCACTGGCAAAGAAACGATAGATCCTTTTTGTCGCTCTCAAAAAACGTCAAGAACAGCTGAAACGCACTGGAAAAAACCTTCCCCTCCCAAGCAAACGCACGACTCCTGCGAATGCTTGCGGAAAATGCGTGCTTTGGGATCGCGTTTCTTCACATTGAGGGCACCTACGCAGTGCTCTGGGAAACACAGCCGGCGATTGCTTGCGGGGGGCTGGAATGCAGTGGGAGCCTCTACAACACATAGTCCAGCAAATACTTAAGGTAGCACGGGTGAAGCAGTGACGGGGTATTCCGTTTCTTTTTGCAAGCTCTCGAGCTAGAAACACATTGGAAGTGGAAGCATTGGCTCGAGAGGAGGCTCCGCCGTGTTCTTTTTACAAATCTTCATCCTCACTTGCACCATGTTTAATCGACGGTTCGGAGACCAGGTCGGTGACCGTGCATAGACAGGCGCATCAAGACCCTCTTTGCACCCAGCTCCAAGGCCGACTAGATGATCACGCGCCTGCAAAAACGAAAAGCTCCACGCCTGCTTCGAAGAGTGACGCCGGGCTGCAGGGAAGTGGCGCACAAGCATTGCAATCCTGACTCGACCCCTCTTCAGGCCTGTCTACCCCCGCATCGCGCTTTGCAACGGCACTTATGGCCGGAAGCTAAAATATCCACGCCTCTGTTTCCAACCACCCATTGTCCATTGAGCCAAGGTTGGAAGAGCGCCGCTTGCTCTCCCAACAACTGCTCCGCCGTCCGCCAAAAACCAGGCAGCTCCAGCAAGGTCAAGTGCCTCGACAGTCACTCTCAAGGCCTATCATGTCAGGCTTCCTCAAAGCCCCGCGCACAATCGCACCTCTGGTAAACACCTCTCACTCCACACTCCCATCATCCACCCTCCCGACCTGCAAAGTTTGCTCCTGATTATCCTTCCTGCATCTTGAGCTCCAATGGCACATTTCCTGGGGCAGCCTCACAGCCATCCACCACGTCTTTTCCTGGTCCTTCATAGGCCACCGCTGCCACATGCTTCTGTACATGTTGCTATTTTTGCTGCGCTCGCTTGCAAGCGCCAAAGTAGGCATGCTGCCTGAGACCACATCGGCCCTCCCCGCAAACGCAGAGCTATCCCCTTACGTGACGGAAGCCCTGCTTCAATCTGCGCTGGCAGGTTCTGGGCCACGCCAGCTCTGTAGTTAAGCAGCAACAACATTGCCATTGCTGCAAAGCTACGACGCCGTTATTTCTGAGCGACCTTACCCTCCGCGCCAAAGCTGCCGGGCCCGGGGGTGATCCCCAAGCATGCATTATCCGGAAGCATTCGCAGAGCTATAAACTTCAGCTTGGGGGGAGGGGCTGCTTTGTTTTTCGGTATATGTGTTTATCTTTTTGACGTTTTGTGAAAAGCAACAAAAAGAACAATGTCTTCGCCAACATGGGCCCAACATAGGCACTGATAATGCTAGTTATGCGTAGTATAGGGCAACACTGCATTATTAGCATCGCATGTATTGGCATCGGGGCCATTCAGGAGACAACGAAGAACAAGAAGAAGAAGAAGAAGCATAAAAAGAATAAAAAGAAGACAAAAAGAAGAAGAAGAAGTAGAAACAAAAAGGAACACGCAGCAGTTCAAGATGGCAGAACTATCAAGTCTCAAAAGGAGGCCTCATCATGTAGTGAATACAAGCGGATGGAAGGGGCTGCATTCCGTCGGTGCAGGCGGACTTCCCCGTGAAGCGGGACGAATACCCAAGACTACCCAAGAGTGTCAAGTAGCTTTGTTCGTGCACAGCCTCTTGGCATTTGTGCTTTGTCGACTGCCCTTTGCCTCTTACCTTACCCGCTCTCCTCCAATTTTGCCGGCTCTCCCTCCAAGCTTGTTGGTTGGCTTTCATCGCAAAAACACACATACAGCCAAATCGAAAAATCCAAAAACTACCCAAATCGCGTTGAGAGACCAATCTTCCAGGGTCTTCAAGTGCTTGGCAGTGCTAGGATGTTCCCACATGATGGTATTCATGGCTGGTGCCAGTACCAAAGGCTTCTCAGGATCCCAAGCTCGTAAGAAGCTGGTGGCCAAGTTATCGCAAAGCCCCAGAGCCATTTTCGCCAAGGTGTTTGCAGAGCATGGTGCAACCACCGCCAGATCCGCCCACTTTCGGAGCTCAATATGGACGACCAGGTCTGAAGATACATCTTCATATCCTTCCCACTCGTCGAGATCACGCAGCACATGCACATCTACCGATTGTTGCAGCTCTTCCCATTTCGTAAAGCTCTCTGGTGCATATCTACCAGCAATCTTTGCACTGGTCATCGCCTGAGTCGGAAAGAAGAAAACACGCGCAAACCATGCTGCACAAACGATCAACCATGTTTGGTGGGTCACCATTCGATTCTTGCTCACGGGCCATCCATTCCTTTCGTTTCCCGCTTTCATACACACATTAATCACTTCCAACGAAAACACCACGAACCACGCACCTCTGCAGCCTCGGTGAGGAGCACGGCCACCTGGGCATCGAGCTTTTGCCGCAGCGCCACAACGAGCTCCGGGACCTTCACAGAGGCCACAGAGCCCGTGCAAACCAACACCACCCGCGGCCGCTCTTCGTCGCCCGCCGTCAGCCATGGAGCGCGACAGGTCGGGAGTCGTCGCGAAGGGCGCGGCGGCGCATCCGACACCTGCGAAGTCCGAGACGTCTTTAGTGCAGAATTTGATGAAACATGTGACGTCAAGAGCTGCACCGGTTGGGACTCTGCGCGTGATGATATGAACTTCATGATGTAGCTACATCATGATGTGTAAACTGAAATGGCCAGTGTGCAACGTTTTGCCTAGGCCTGGGAACGCCACCGCCACACCAGGAGACCAAGGCCCACTCCACCCTAAGTCAGGTAAGCCATGGCAGGCAAAAAGCACAAAGCTCAGTACACCTTTCTGCGTTTTCTGTTTCTTTGTTTCTTTAGCAATGGCCTCCAACCTACTAGCGATGGCCTCCAACCTAATAGCAACACATAGCTAAACTATATATAGTTGCAGTTTGGTCACTGCAAGTAAGCAAGTGGGAACGGCATGCTGTGCGAAGCCCCGCCCCGACATGGTAGGATCACAGAATTGCTGTCGAAAAGTCAACTTGCTACTAGGAACAAGAAGGCTACTAGGGGCTCCTGGCCTTACTACTAGTAAAAAGAAGCTACTAGGGACTCCTGGCATCGATTTGAGAGTTTGGGTCATGGCACCTCCAACCTAAAAGTGATGGCCTCCAACCTAAGAGCGATGGCCTCCCCTTAGTAGCAATGGTCCACAGTCTCTTGGGACTTTCACAGTGCCATTGGTTTTGTGCGATTGGTTTTGAACCTGATGGGGGTCATATGAACGAATCCCATATTGGACCACTTGTGGCACTTGCAAGGCTTTGCCTGGCTCTGCCCGTCTTTGGGTTCGATCATGCGTGCATTCCAGCAATGTCCTTGGTCTTTTGAGCAAGCATGCAACGCCCTGTCTTCCATGGCATTCTGGTAGATCCTAGCACACACAGCTGATTTTCCTAACTGAACTAAGCAAAATATGCGCCTTTTTCTTCACGCTAGAGGCGACCACGCACGTCTGGTGTGCAATAGTGCACCTTCACTTGGTGTGCAATACCTCCATCTTGCATTTGAGGGCCGACTAAGCCAATGGGATCGTCGGGTCCAGGCAAACCGGTCCGGGATCGTCTGGTCTCTCACGTGATCTGCACGTCTTCGGTGTTGTCTTCGTCTACGCTGAGACCGAACGGTGTGGTCTTCGGAGCCTTCCATCTTCCATCCTCGTCGTCCCTATATTTGGAGAGGCACAAAAAGCCCGTCCTTGGTGCGAGTTCAAGGCTCCAAACCAAAGGCAGATTCTCTTGATGTACCAAATTCTAGCCAAAAGTCATGAGCCAGTTGGATGTCAAGGCCATCGGTGAACCAAAGATCCCGTAGCTGCCGATTCATATCATGGTGCTCTCCTTGGATGTCCGAGACAGTCTAGGCAGGGACTTCTCTTTGTCCTTGTTTCTAATAGCGATGGCTTCCAACCTAATAGCGATAGCCTCCAACCTAATAGCAAACTACCTAATTTAAAATTAATAGCAAACATTGTTACTACTAGTAAGGCACTTGTTACTAGTAGCGATGCACTTGTAATTACTAGCAAAGGACCTCTGACATCTGCGGACATCTCCCGCATCACCGAGCAACGGTAGTGGCCCATGCCAACTAGGAAGGCCTTCGGATGAACCGAGTCGAACGTCAGCCGGATCGAGGTCACTCCGCTCCTTGCCACCACAAAACAACGCCCACGAAAAACCGAATGCAAAGCAATTTTTAGTGGACACTTTGTGGGACACTCTTGCTTATCAATTTCCCAAGGCACTTTTGAAGGACACTCCTGCTTGACGCTCTGCAAAACATTCTGACTTCAAACAGCTCAAAAAGCTTTGTCAGATACTCTTGTAGGACAGCTTGTGGGTGCGACACTCTTGCTACTCTTTTGTACACTCTGGAACTCTTTCTGAGAAGGCCACTTCTTGACAATCTTAAAGGCCACTCCTATAGAGTACTGAACTGCTCTTGTTTGCCACTCTTCTAGGACGCCCATGACCCAACGAGCGTACAAGACTTCCTCCACCAGTCGCTCGTCAAGCGTCCGAACGCACGTCGCACGCACGTCGCACGAGGCTTCCGAACGCTCCGTTCGAGTCGCGATGCCAGGAGCCCCCGTTCGTAGCGTCCTTGTTCCTAGTAGTACGGCCAGGAGCCCCTAGTAGCGTCCTTGTGGTAGCATTCGCTAGTAGGTTGGAGGCCATCAATGTAGGTTGGAGGCCATCGCTATTAGAAACAAAGAACAAAAGACACGGAAGAAAGGTCATTTCGTACGGGCTCGCTCGCCAGCCTTCTGTGGGCGGAAGCGCTTGATTAAGCTCACGCTTTCGTCCAGGTTCGCGTGCACATTGCTCTTCTTGGAATCTGGATGTAACATATCCAGGATCATCACTGCAATCCCTTCCTCTCCAAAAGGACGCGTGAAGACGAAGAACGTGAGCAGTTGTCACTTGTAGACTTGTCATGCCTGTAGTATAGTGTATATATTCTTGTCAACCTGTCCAGTCTCGTGTTTTCATAGTGGAGTAACCATCTCACTCTCTCAAACTCTGAAAACAGTGACTATAGTCATTCTCTCTCTCTCTCTCTGTGACGAAAAAACGAAATCAGCTCTCTTTGTCTCGACGTTCTCTCAACGTCTCAGGATATGCCGTCCTTGCTCCATTGCTCCAGCAGCTTCTCCGTCCTTGGAAGGATCTGGGAGTAGTCAGAGATGTACACGACTCCTGAGCGAAGTCAATCTGTCAGACAGCATGGAGATGAGACAGGAATTGACTCCAACTGCTCTGTTTTGTTTGCTCAGTTTGCTCTTCATGTGTCTTCATGTTTCATTTAGAGTGGGAATGAATCAACGAAGAAGGCACCTCTTCCAGTTCGATCACAAATCCGTCAAAAACAGTGTGGCCAACTCCACAGTTTGATTGAATTTACTAGCTTCTTGTCACTACTAGTAAGGCACCTGTTACTACTAACGTGGCACCTGTTACTACTAGCGTGGCACTTGTTACTACTAGCGTGGCACTTGTTACTACTAGC